CCCGCCCGACCGCCGGCGCTGACAGGCGTTGTCTCCTTCGCAGGGACGCGGCGAGAGGGCGAGAATCCGCGCTTTCAAGGGAGCTGCTCCCGGCTTGGCCCCGCGGGGTCCCACCGCACTCGAGGGGATGGAGAGCCTCCCCCGAGGCCCCTGCACGGCCCGCGATCCCACGCTGGTCGGCCCTCGCTAGCTGCTTGAAATTTGCGTTTTATCCACCACCTAGGCCTTGTCTCCTGAGTCAGTGGCGTTGTGGTTCGAAAGACATGGAAGAAAAAGAGCGATGTGACCGATTTCGTTCTGTCCTCCTGCTTTGAGGCCTGGTTGGCATTTGCAGAGAGAAAAATACAGCAAGAAAATCGTTGGGGGGTTTTTTGGACGGGGTGGAAAAGGAGGGTGAAAAGGAAAACAAGGTTTTAGATTTTATACGATTTTTTAAAACGTATGCACTTTGACAGTGGTGGCGAAATACACTAATCCAAAAGTTATCTTTCTATCGAGAAGAGAGAAGAGGGAGGATTATTTTTCCTTTTGATTCCAACCTTTTCTTCCCGTGACAAAGCATAAATCATGGACACCAGAAAATAACGTGGACCTCAGGAATTCTGAAAAGACTGAGAAGCGTACATTCCTCCTCAGGAGGGAAGGGTGGGGTGTTTTTAGCCCTCTCTGGAATCTAAAACGAAAAACATGAGTTGCGTGCCATGGAAAGGAGACAAGGCTAAATCTGAATCAGTGGAGCTGCCCCAGGCAGCACCCCCACATATCTACCATGAGAAACAGCGCAGGGAGCTGTGTGCCCTGCATGCCCTCAATAACGTCTTCCAGGACAGCAATGCCTTCACCCGGGATACGCTGCAAGAGATTTTCCAGAGGTAGGGGACCCCTTCTCCTTGGGATCTTTATACTTTCCGTGTTTTCTGAATTTTGAGGGGTGGGGCAATGCCTGTGCTGCATAATAAACCTTCACACCAACAGGTATTATTAGCTAGATGCTATTAGCAGGTACAAGGGACACAAGAATGGGAAAGATAATCACTACTATTTATTGAGCACTTACAGTGGGGTAGGCACCGCGCTAAGCCTCAGTTGTGTTATCTCAAGTGATCCCCTCTACAATCCCATGGAATTGTGGCTATTTCCAGTTTATGGGTAAAGACTTATGGCCTCAGAGAAGTTCGATAATTTGTCCAAGGTAAGATATGAGAGGTGGAGCCAAGCTTGAATTCAGGTTTGTTGCTGTGCCGTTTACCACTATGCTATTAATGCTTCTCAAGTCCTGCCCACAAGGAGTTTAGAGTCTCGAAGGGGGACAAGATATGTACACTCAGTAACCTGTCATCAAAGTTGGAATGTTGTGTTTCCATTAGAAAGGTAAATACACAATGCTCACCTTTTCTATGAGGCCATAGGCTGGCCTTGGTGCTTTTCATACAGTGTTTTGAGTAGCCCTCCTCATAGTTGATTTACTGTCTATTTTACTGATAAAGAAACAGGAAGAGAGGTCCAGTGTTTTCTCCATATAGCATCTAGGTAGCAAAGCTGTGATTTGAAGCTGACTGTAGATTCCCTCCCCTCTCTACTTTATTCTAAATCGCTTTCTTACCTACTTTGTCCAATGCTGCTGGACAGGTTGGTAGAAGGTCAGCTTTTTTCTCTCAGCTCTGATATTCTAAAATTCTTCTATCAAAGAGTTTGAGAAATGGTTCTGCAGTGTCTGGATGAACACAGTATCACGTCTGTGGTCCATAGCAACTTTGGCAGTGAGCCTGTCTCACTACTCCAGCTTATAAAGAATTATTCTCCTCAGTTCTTAGTGCAGAGAAAGCTCAAGAATTCTTCAAGAAATGCATATTGGCATTTCCAGAAGACCCTTCTCTGTCTACCTTCATTTAGAGATGACATGATTGCCCCAGAAGGGCCTGAATTACAGCTAGTAACAACCTATTTGGGGTGACTGATTGAAGCATAGGTGTGAACCATTTGTCCTGAAAGAATCATAGGCCCTCTCTTAGAAGAATATTAATTTCACTGTGCTGACAAAATTATAATGACGGTAATTATTTTCCAATGCCAATAATAACCCATTGTAATGTCTTAGCAGGGCAGATGTGTCCTTTGCATCATGGCCATTATCTGGCAAGTAGAATGAACTGTCTTCAGGAAATTAGGGCTCTGGGAAGTGAGATAATTTGTCTCAGATCAGTAAGTCATGTAACTGACAGTAGAAAGGAAGCCAGTCCTTTAAACTGCTTCCTCTTGGCCAGCCATTAATAAGTATACCTTCTACTCCTAGTTGGATATTTGCAAATTATTTCCTAATTGAAGACAAGGGAGAAGGAAATGACTCACAGTGAGTACTTGAATGTGCTTGGTGCTTTGTAACAGTCTTGCAACAACCTTATCAATAGTGATTCTAGGAAACTGGGATCAACTTAAGCAATTTGTCCAGTTTCACTCTGATAAATTTCAAGTCCGACATACCGTGTGTCCATTCGGAAGTTTTTCACTTCTGTAACTTTGGCCCCGATCTGACATGATGATGATCACTCACACAGATGAACCCTTGCTCTGTGCAAAGCACTGTTGTGAGTGCTTTCCTTGTGTTAACTCACTCCTGACACTAATCTTATTATAAGGTAGATTCTGCTATTTCTCATTTTTCCAGATGAGGAAATCATGGCACAGAGAGTTCACAGAACTGTTAATTGCAGGATTTGGGCCCAAGCTTTGTGACTCGAGGGCCTGCCCTCCAACAGCTCTGCTGCTTCTTGAGTATTGGGAAGGTGTGTCAGAGTAATTTTATCATCAGTAGCCATTTACCTTGCTAGTAAATTGGGCCTGGATCTGAAGATGTGGACTGTGAGTATAAACTGTTTGTGAATAATAGCAGGACTCTTTCAGCCGTGTTTAACTGAATTAAAGAATGCTAAATATTTGCTAAACACTCACGTGGAACCAGAGTTCTATTCCTGTCTTGTAAAGCTTTAGCGAGTTATACTACATCCCCCAGTTCCCTATCAGCACAATGTGAAGATCCACCTCTAAGTAATAGCAGGCCAGTACATAAGAGAATATACTCTGTCTCCTCTGTATAGAGTATTCTGTGTGGGAAGATTCTGTGTGGATTAATAGAAACAAAGAAGTGTGAAAGGGATCAGAGAAAAATGCAGAAGGAGAAAAGATGAGGGAAAGAAGATGGAATTTTTTTAAAACAAACATTTACTAGCTGCCTGCAGTGTGCCAGGCACCGCTAGGCACTGTAAAGAAAACAAGTTGAACAAGACCCAGCCGCTGGGAAGTACATCTCAGAGCTGTACATTGACCAGGCCTTGAGAACAGACTGCACTGAATTGGAACCATGGGATTTAGAGCAATTTAAAGGGGAAAAGATAATCTATTTGGATCCTAACAGAAAAGAGTAATGTTGGCAGTACTGGGAACTAGATAATTTAAAATTCCCAGGTCTATAAAGTCCTATGCTTTTTTGAAAATGTGGCTAATGAATGGTAGAAATGGGACAAAAATTTTGATGAATGCTATTTGTTGAGAGTAGGTTCATCCTAGCAGTTGAATTTTAGCCAGATAGAAGAAATACAAAAGCAGGGTGGAGTTTAAGTGCAGTTGTGAATATGAGATGACTCATGTTTGGAATAGAAATGAATAGGATTTTAGAAAGGACTAAACTAATGACTCGGCAGCAACATAGGAACAAGGAAGAGAGAAGGCAGTTGTGACAGGTTCCCTCCAGGATTTGAAGATAGTGGTAATGCAAAAAGAGGTCATTGGTTTGAAAAGGATCAAAAACTGAAATTGGAGAGAAGGTCAGAAACTGGGCAAGTGTCATCAGTGTGCATTGATATAGATGTGGATGCTTGATCTTAAATTTTATCACATATGTGTCTATGCTTTGAAAAAGAAAGGACTTAGAAGTCAAATTATGTAGTAACAATTTTACTAGGTTGTTTTGAAAATCTCAGGCCTCAAACATCTTCACTAGACTCATCTCAATTTTTCTGCAATCAAATGTATGTACACCTAGGTATGCAGTCCTCTCCCAAATAAAACAGCTGTTAAAATCTAAATAGAGGTACTTGGTGCTGGGGGGAAAAGCCTTAATGCAATCTGCAAGGGACAAAGAGATGATAGTTATTGGTGAACATTCTCTGCCACGGAGACGTCCTCCTGCCTCCCCATTAAAAGTCCTGAGCCACATTAAAAATGGTGGTTTAAGTTGAGAAAAGGTGTTGTTGAGTGTTAAGTTCTAGAGATATAAATTATCTCATCCAAGGGCCAACAGGCTCCTCCTCCTCCTCATCATCATCATTGCCAACACCTGGAGTACTTCTGTGTGCCTAGCCCTGTGATCTGTGCTTTATGTATTTAATAACTTAAAAACACATCTGGAAGTTCTGAGCCGTATTTTCTAAAGTCACATCTTCAGAACTCATTACAAGAAAAAAATTAAAGGAGGAAAAGAATCTTGATGAAATGTCTCCACAAGTCCTTTTCATTAAAATCTGAAACATTACCCTAGCCAGACACAGTGGTAACCACAAGAGAGGACCAGACTTAACTGAGGGTACAGACATCAGTGGAGACCTGGACTAGAGCCCATCTTCTCACTTGTGGATCACTGCAGATCTCGTGGCTCTAAACCTCTGCCCATGGTGACCAAAATGAGAGGCTCATGTCTAGTCCAGAATTTCTATGGAAATAATTAAGAGTCCTGAATGGGAGTCTCAAGAAAACATTCCACTGGGACAGAACAGAATCCCATGGAATTCAGTGGGATCTGTGCTTTGAAATATCCAGGAGACTGTTCAGCGTAGCCTTAGGTTTAGTGGTTGAATCCTCACTCTGTCACTCCCTAGCTGAAGATGACTGTACCAGTCACCATAACATTTTGCACCTCAGCTTCCTTATTTACACTGTGGGGTTAATCTCTATCTCAAGATTGTTGGAAGGATTAAATGATAAAGCTCAGAAAAGAAGCTAGCACAGTGGGCACTTGATTATTGTTGCAGTAAAAACAAGTACTAGTATAATGGGCACACTGAATGGACCCCACTTATTCAAATGACCACTCCTCTGGCAGTGAGATGGAAACCACTCTCAGTATTTCCTATATTGATTGGTTTGGCAAGCACATGGTTATGCAGTTGCCAGGGCCCAAATGTGAGAGATACAGAGTAGATGAGTCATCCTCTTAGCTTCGGGAATTTACTATTTGGGTGGACATGTGTGAAATAACTGAATTCTTCAATGGTCCTGTGAGATAAGGATCATTCCTGTTTTTACAGATAAACTAACAGGAATGGAGATCAGATCTCAAAATTGATATTGATGGTGCTTGGATGTGAACAGAGAGATGTGTGGTCCTCCTGATCTCCCTCTTTTTTCTACTACACTGGAGCCAGGAAAGATTCCATGGAAGAGATAAGGTGTTAGGTTGAGCTTGAAGAAGCTTTAGGATTTAGCTTGTAACCAGAAAATGGATAAAAGAAAAGAGGTTACATGGGCTTGGTGCCTGAAGTACACTAAGCCCAATGAAAGGGAAACGACAGGCTGAGTGGGGCTGGGAGGGTTGGAGTTGGGCAACCAGGCAGTTGGCTCCATTGCCGGTTCTTATATAAGTGAGTGGAATGATACCTTTAGCGAGTGTGGCAGGAATATAGGCGGAATAGGTAGAAGGAGCATTTGGAAGGAACCTGTTTCTAAAATCCAGGTGTGAAGTGAGGGGCCTCCTGTCAGGGCACAGACAGTGGGAATAGACAGGCAAGGATTTGAATCTGAGAGAGCAGATGTAGGACAAGAAGAAGAGATCCTTGCAACACTAGTTCCAGAAGGTGCACCTCAGAGAAGAAGTTTGTGTGGTCAATGTTTAGACCCCCTCTCCTCAAGAGTCAAGGTAACTATCAGCATACTGGGGACTTCAAGAAATACTGTAGGAAGCCTGTTATTGATTCATTCAGCCCTTACTGTATTGAATGCCTTCTGTGATCCTCTGGGAACACATTTGGGAAAGCGCGACACTAAGGGTTGAGCCTGGTAGGGACTTAGATGGTGAAAGAGGAGGAAGACTCAGCAGTTTCTTTGTTGGAACCTTCGTGCGCCTGCTGGCTCGAGACTTCACTGAAGGTACGGAGAAGATGCTGGAAAACTAGTGAAGGGAAAGTAACTTTAGACATCTTGAGCTTGACTTTCTTTCATATGCTTTCTCATATAATCCAAGTGCCCAAGAACCCACTGAGAGCTTTTATCTTATTAAGCTACATTTTAGGCCCAGGCCAAGGGACTCAGCTAGCCTTTCCTCTTATCAGCCTGTCACCACCACCCATTCTGTTTCTTGAGTCCTTGCCATGAGCACTAAGCAGAACCTTGGATTCAAGCAAACTGCAGTTTGAATCCTAGTTCTGTCACTTAAAAAGCAATTGAGCACAGTCTAATCATTTTAAATCACCAAACTTCAGTTTCTAAACCTATAAATGGAAGTAATTCATAGCATCTCATAGATTTATTGTGAGGATTAAGTGAGATACATATGTGAAAGCGTCTGTCAGAGGACGTGCACAGAAGTCTTCACACAGTGGCAGTTATTATTACAGGTTAAACAAAGTTTGGTTGCAGAATGTCCTTAATGCCCCTTCTTTGCTGACTCTGGATGCTGGTTTCACTGATACTTAGAGGAAAAGAGTGAGGATAACAAAATAAACATGGAGAACATTTCAACAAATGTCCCTTGAGCACATGTCATGTGCCAGGCACTCTTTGAGGGCTGGTGATGTAGTGTTAACAGGCTAGAGAAGGCCCCTGCTGCCATTCTAGTGTGAAAATACAGACAAGTTAGGCTGTGACATGCCCAGTAGTCAGACTGTCCGTAATTAAATTAAAGCAGGTGGATGTAAGAGGAAATGATGAGGTGACAGGGAGCAACTTAAGGTCGGGTGATCAGAAAAGGTCTCTAGGGCAATAACACCTGAGACCCAAATAATGGGGAGCAAACCGAGTGAAGATCTGAGGGAAGAGCATTCCAGGCAGAAACAGTGAGTGAGCGCAGAGGCCCTCCCGCGAGAAAGAGCTCTGTGTGTCCAGGTAGCAGAGAGGTCTTTGTGCTGAGAGGTAGGGATGAGGTCAGCGGGATCTTCAGGGCCTTGCAGGCCAGGGGAAGTCGTTTAGATTGTATTTAAGTGCTTTGGGAGCCGTTGGAGGGATTAAGCAGTGGCAAGAGTGTGTTTTATGTCGGAAAAATATCATCATGGTTGCTATGTATAGAGAAGTTGGAAAAAAATTTTGTAAGATTTCTGAAGGTTTTAGAATTGACCTAAAGATCTTATTCTCTTCTGGAGATGGCATTTAGCAACCTGGTAGACATCTGCTCTCTGCTTTTATTCCTAAGGAACTCGTGACATTGCCCTTCCTCCCCTTCACACGAAGGTGAAAGACATGCTACCCCTTCCTTCAAGATGCCTTTCCTCAGGTCCTGGCCTGAGCATCCTGTGAAAGCAAAATAATAGGGTTGGAAATGCCTTCAGAACTGACCTTGTCTTGAGATGAAGGAGTGGCTAAAGAGGCCTGGCCCAAAATGCTTAAAGCTGGTGGGCAAGTCAGACTGTAGTTGAGTATTGTTTATCTAGCACAAACTTTTTTTCAATTTGTTTATTTTTTTTTAATTCAGGTGTTTTACACACACGTATATTTGGAATACCTTTAGGTGGGTCATGCGTTCCAGTTTAATATTGGCCTGACTACTTTATATTGCCTGACATTTGGTCCCAGTTCATACATTTATGTTACCTGTCTGGGCCCCTGAAGGTCTTTGAGTATTTGATGATTAATGATTACTAAGTATGCAAGCCTTAAAAAGAAAGCATTTAAATTGTAAAATAAATAAATAAGAGTAATAACAAATATTATGTATGCAAATGAAAATATCAGTATTATTTTCCAATGTTAAAAAAAAAAGCCTGTATCAAGGCAGGAGGATCAGCAAAGAGGAAGACTGCAGAAATGGGTAGGCTGGGGCCTTCATAAATGAGATTCCTTTGTGGAACATTCTTTGTACTCATTGAATTCACTGTAGACACGCTTTCTAAATGGCAGGCAGATAGATCCCACCACTATTGAATTATTGTTTTGCATAAAAATAAAGGCAGTCCCTAGGGCAGCAGGAGCCCAGACTACAAAATACTTGGGTAAGAACTGGTTATATTTACTTGAATGGGAGGAAACAGGCTTCCAGGGGCAGCAGTGTAAAGTGTCCTGTCCGTGGTCGTGCAGGGCCAGGTGGGGTTAGGCAGACCAGCAAGTCTCAGCTTTCCTCCTTTGACACTTGTAGGTTGTCTCCAAACACCATGGTGACCCCCCACAAGAAGAGCATGCTGGGAAATGGGAACTACGATGTGAACGTCATTATGGCAGCACTTCAGACCAAAGGCTACGAAGCTGTTTGGTGGGATAAGCGCAGGTAATCCAACCAGACTTGATTTGATGAGAACTGGCACTCAAGTGGGGAGGTAGCCAGTTGTGGCATTACAGCCAGGGAACCTTGGGGGCTTGGGTGCCTCAGAGCCTGACACCATTCCTGTTCTTCAGGGATGTTGGCGCCATTGCTCTCACTAACGTCATGGGCTTCATCATGAATCTGCCCTCCAGCCTGTGCTGGGGTCCACTGAAGTTGCCACTCAAAAGGCAGCACTGGATCTGTGTTCGAGAGGTGGGAGGGGCCTACTACAACCTCGACTCCAAACTGAAGATGCCAGAATGGATTGGAGGCGAGAGCGAGCTCAGGTACCTGTGTGGCTGCTGTGGTGGCAAGTTAAGCTTATTTTTGGTTATTTGACAAAGGAAATTCCTAGCTCCTGGGATCCTCTCCCTGCTGTTACTTAGAATCATAGGGTCTCAGACTTGAAAACCTTAAATCTTTGATGGCCCGTGAGGATGTTAAATCCCTTTGGCAGAGAAGTCCCAGCACCTGGGATGCTGGCTTTCTGGTCTGATAGGACTGGTGTTGTAACATTCTCTAACTTAGACAACTGTGACAGTATAGCTGTCAGTTCAGAGAAAGGAAGACAGGCATTTGGGCCCAGAGAGGGCTAAATTTCCCTGGGACCCAAAGAAAAAACTTTTTTTTTCCTTCTTCCTTTTTTTTTTTAACCAATTAGAAGACCTTACTTTAGGGTACGTTGGGCCCTACTCCTCACAGAACTGCTACTGTTGGTAGTAATATATGAGGATGAGCAAAAATTCAGGTTGGAAATTTAACTGGACAGCCTGAGGGGTAACCAAATGTGGAGTCCTCCAAGAAGACATCACTACTAGAGAGTGTTGAGGATTGCCGTGGGTATGAATGACAAGGTTACTATCTGGTGAACATGTGACCCCAAGACAGGAATTTGCATTTTTACTAGCATTTCATCTTCTCTTTCATCTACCCTTTTCTCCCTTAGGAAATTTCTAAAACATCATTTGCGAGGAAAGAACTGTGAACTCCTGCTGGTGGTACCAGAAGAGGTGGAGGCCCATCAGAGTTGGAGGGCTGACGTGTAAGGCAGTTCTGCCCAACCTTCCCTCACCTCCACCCCATAAATCCTCTGTGACATGCTGTGGCCTATACCGTGGCTCTGCCCTTGCCACTTTCCCAAACATCTCATCGGGTTTTTCCCCTCAGATTTGACAGTGCAATAGGACAGACGTGTGGACTGTTTGTTATAAGAACCAGCCAGCCATCCTCGTTCCTGGGAAAGGAAAGTAGGAGCTCTGCGTGCTTAGGGCAAGCTATGGAAGACCCTTGCCGTGTTTAAGAGAGGAGAAAGAAAGGTGGGTCCTAGCTTATTTTCCCCATTTCTGTGAGGACTTGACAGAGGCTCTGCTGGAGTTTACTGCTGCTCTGACTCATCTGGAGATGCTGCCTCCACTTCCCCTTTCCTGGCAGCCAGTGGGTCTGAAGACACAGTACATGCAAAGCCTGTGTGGCTGGCCTGAGGGACCCAGAGCAAAAAGGCCTCTCAGGAAACCATCTCTAGAACCACAGCAGAAGTACAGCATGCTGTCTCCAACCCTTCCTGCCACCCTCACCCCATTTTTAAGGGTGGTTTATGGCCATCCTTGGAATTTTATAATGAAACGTTTTCTAATATTCCACTCCAGGTGGTTAAATCCTGCAGTTTTGTTGTGTAACAGGAGGTATCTAAGAGGATGTGGCCAAAGCCAGACTGGGGCAGGCACGGGCAGCCTGACTGCCTCACTGGCTCACTCCAGCATTGTCCCTGCTACTGCACCACAGTGGTTTAAGAGGCTCTGGGGGACAAGATAGGCAAAAGGGCAATATTCCCAGTTGACCCACTCTGGCAAAATCAGGGAAAAAATGACTGCCTTCGACATCAAATTCCACTAGTTTGAGACAGCTGAGCAAGGAAAGTATTGTGAAGATAAGTCTTCAGAGATTGGGAGCAGCTAGAGTTGGCAGAAGTCCTAGACGTGGAGTCACTGTAGTGACAAGAAGCAGAGCCCTCAAGTTGGGTGGATATGTGCGTATGCTTAGGACTTGGGTTTGTCATCTCTGTAGTTTCCTTTACAGATCAACTGAGAATTGACCTGCCCCCTACCTCTTTAAATAGTTGTAGGCCACTTTTCTCCCCATAACTTTGGAAAACAAAAGAGGAGGGGAAGTAAGTGTCATACCATACTGCCTGTCACCAAAGTGGTTGTGGTTGCCTCAAGCCAGGTGGGCGGGCAGGGATGGCCTGTCCAACCTTGCAGATCAGTGGTCTTGGCAGGTCTGAAAGCTGCCCCACTGGCCAGACTTCTCTCCAGCAGCAGAGCCAGCCTGGGGCTTGCATGTCAAACCTGAGCAAGCTTAACGGGATGAGGCTGAGGCTCTCTCCCCACTGTGACTGGAGTGCATGTTTACACCAGCACTTTTCTGCACATGTATCTTCAATCCAACAAGGCCATTTTTATGCTGAGTAACAGGCCACCAAGCGGCTACTGCATTACACCCTCTCAGCAACTGGCCGCAGTCTCTTCTGCACCATTTTCTACACTAGACCTGCTTGGCACCACAGGGAGCTCTTTCCCCCTGCACAATGACATTCCAACCGCCACCAGCCGGAAGTTACAGCCAACCTTGCTGATTGTCACAAGCAGGACCTTGGGTCCATTGGCATTGTCAGTGATGTAAGCCATTTCCTGGGAGGAGGAGGAAACTCCTCTCCACCAATCTGCTAGGGCCTGTGCAAATGGCACTTCAAAGGAGTCCCCATGCACTTGGAGTCCATGAGCCAATGGAATATGCAAAGATGCTTAAACATTTCAGGGCTGGTTTCTCTGTTCATATCCAATTCCGGTGCTTAGGAACAGGGACCCATGCTGATGCCCAAGGGCAAAAAGCCCCACTTCCTTCAAGGAAGAGGGTGGGCCTGACCCTAATGCCCAGTAAGGGGCAACCCTAGGCTTTTTGTTTTTCTTGCTTTTATTCCCCTTTTTTCGTTGGCCTTGTGCTGGGTTTGTTTACAAAAGATGTATTTTGTTTAACCAAATATTAAAAATGTAAAATTCTGTACATGAATTTCATGTCTCAATTCTGTAATTAATAACGCACAATTCTTTAAAAGTTGAATTTTACTATGATGCTGCTTTAGAAGGAATTCACTACCATTAGAAGTCATCTTTTAGAGACATACTGTGCTCTGACCAAACCTCTCACTTCAGAAGTCCAGACAAAATACTCACCAAGGATTTGGTTCAAAAAAGCCCGAGGCACTTTTCAATGTATAAAAACTAGGATCCATACTATAAAGTACCCTATCCCTAATTTAAGTACAGGTTTTCTTTACTGACCAGTGACTAGTGTTTTTCCCTGGTTAACAAGTGGAAGATCGTGTTATCTCAGTGGAGGGCCTGGGTGGCCTCAGCACCAAGTACATAGCAGGATCCTGAGTTAGACTGTACGTTTGAATTCAGGCATTTTCTGTGCGGCCTGGCACAGATCACAACCTTTGTTTCCTCCTCCGTAAAATGAGACTACCACCTTCTAAATTGTGTAGTTCCAGTAACCCACATAAAAGGCTTAGTACTGTTACTAACACAAGGCTAATAAAAATGTATGTTAAATGGAAAAACTGCAAGTTCAAAGACAAGGAGGGCTGCAGTTGGATTCACTATCAATAGCTCATTTCAGCAACCAGTTAACCCTCAAATGGCTCAGGTTTGAACTAAGTGGGTCCACTTACATGTGCATTAAAAAAAAAAATACCAGTGCTACACAAACTGCAGTTGGTTGGAATCGCAGAGAGCCAACTATAAAGTTGTAGACTTGACTCTGCGGAGGGTTAGCCCCCCCAACCCCTGTGTTTAATGGTCAACTGTATTTTTAAAAGAACAAACCCTAGGTGTTCTATTTGTAACTTTCTCACTCCCAAACTAGAACTCAATAGTATGTCATTCCTTACAAAGCCTTTATAACTGTACAGTGTCATTAGATTGTATAAGTACACAGACCCAAGCCTTTGTTGGTGGAGCTGAAAGTGACTGACTGCCTGAATTCAGGGCAAAGATGACTATTAGGTTCTTGGCCCAAAATGAATTTTTTTTTACCTTTGTAAATTTAACTTGGGCCTATGGGGGTCAATCAGTGTTAAATGGTGGTGCTGGCTCCGATGAAAGGAAATGTGAGGGACAGTTTTCTTTGCCCTTCTAAAATGGTCTAAGTAATTTTGAGATATGTATTAAGCACATGGAGGACATTTTTGGTTGGAATCATTTTTAATATTTAAATACAAAAAGTGAGCACTGAATTTTTTTTTCTCTTTTAGACACACACACACACACACACACACAGAGGTCTAACAGCCAAAATATGCAGAGGAAATGAGCTCCTGCTCTGTCCTCCACAGTCCCCATCCTGTGGCTGAAGCTGCTACAGGCCCGCCCTTCCTCCTGTTCCAACATACGTGGAAATTCACAGTGGCTGCTTCACAGTGCAGCTGTAATGCATTTTGTATTTTATAGTGTGCATGTCCCTCCCCAGCATCTCTATTCTTAAAAGAAAAAACCATCGTGAACAGTCAGGGGTACATCCTTCCCAATGGCATCAGCTTCTACCCCACAATGGAATAGTGAGGAGGTCTTCTAATCAGGAGTAATTTAGTGAAACGGGATGGCCAGAGCTGGAGTAACCATCTGCATTGCTGCACTCTGGTATCAGAGTGAGTACAGAAGAAATAAGTCAGGACAGCGTGGCGGGCACAGTTGCAAGTTGGGAGTCTCTCCATGAGAATGTGGGGAGAGTTCTCCCCACCAGGTTTAGATAGATCAGTGTGCCAAAGTTAAAAAAAAAATCATCCAATAATCAGCAGTTCAAACACTACTGAATTTTCAAACTTCTTCCACCAAGACAGGTCAACTATAGCAGTAACCTAGATCTTTCCGGGAAGTGAAGGCAGAGCCCCTGGCATTCCTCCTGACAGCCCTGTGTTAGGCCCTAGAAGTATCTGGAAAAGAAAAAGAAGAATGTAAGGCACTGTACAGACCTAGGAATCTCATTTTCATCACACTTGCTGGGGCAGACAAGGTCTACAAAAACAATGCTGAGGGCAGTTAGATACCTAAAAAAGCATGGGCCTGATCCCAGTCCCTACTCACACGTTGACCGCCCTACCCAGGTGCTGGAAGAATAAACAACCTGTGTCTCCACTACTGGCAAAAAGCCCAGGGTCAGAGCTCACCTGCCGTTGCTGCAGTTGCTGCTGCTGCTCCATCTGCAACTTCTCAGTCTCAAAGACGACAGGAAGAACCAGGATCATGAAGGAAGTGGTTCCAATCCACAAGGCTGCCCTGGAAAACCTGCAGAGGGAGCATGAGCATGACTGCAAGCCAAGTGCAGACAGCTTCACCAAGAACAAACCAGTAACCAAACCTCTCACACCGTATACTCCAACGTTTTTGATAAGCATATTCTACCTAACCCTTGCACCATACACTTTACTCCTACCAGAAAACGGGAGGAGCAGTTCTGGTGCCTGTACATCTAGTGAGAGCAGTTTGAACAATTTGAGTTCTCACAATGCTTCTTATAATTATCTCACATAATCTGAAATATCCTCACAACGACCCCTGTCCGCTAAGAATCCCCATGCTACAGTGAAGGAAATTGAGTCCAAGAAAGGTTAAGGTAACACCAGTCCAAGGTCACTCAGTGATCTAGGTGGCAGGCTGGCCTCCAACCCAGATCTGCTGCTTCCAAAGCTCGTGTTCATTTAAGGCACCTCAGTCACCCCAGGAACGCACCCAATGTCTTTGCCCTCGTCCCTTACCTGTACATTTTTTGAGCCACGAAGAGAGAGAGATCAAAAGTAGCTCCAGCCGCGGACCGGACGCTCTCCGGGAACATCTCTGTCAACCCCCACAGTCTCTCCGACAGGGTCTCATCTAGCTGTGGGTAGAGGAGGCGCGGGTCTGGGCCGAAGCAGCGGCAACGACCCCTCGACGCCGGGACATGCCGGTCCCCTGGAGCTAGGGTCCCCTGGAGCTAGGGCACCCCGGTCCCAGCGAGGCCCTCACGCCGCCTGCTGGAGATGCCTCCGCCCGGACCTTTCCGGGCTCCGCGACGCGCCTTCGCCCCGATCCCTCAGCACGCGGGGCCCACATTCCCGCTCCCCGCCCGCAACCTCACTCCCCGCTCCGCGGGGGCCAGTACCTCCTCGTCGTCTTCCTCTTCCAGCTCCTCTTCAGGCTTCTCGGCATCGCCTTTCGGAAGCAATTCGTCCGGGGACAGGGGCACCCCAGGGCCGGCGGCAGGGGCGGCGGCAGCCATGGCTGAGGGGGACACCGGAAGCGGAAGAGAAGAGGCGAGTGCAGCGCGAGCGGCGGACAGAGCTGCCCTTCCGGGAGCCGGAGGCTGAAGGGCTCGGGGAGAGCGCCACCCTCTGGCCGCCTTCAGCCGAGGGCGTCTGGGGCTTTGGAGAACGTGAGACACCTGGGAAATATGTTAAAGCACTGTGTAGGGGTGCTTCCTGGTAATTCTGTTCAGCAGGCTTAGGGTGAGCCTAGAAATCTGCATTTTAACAAGTCTCCCAGAGGTCACACTTAGACAAAGACGAATCCAGTTTCATTTCCCTGAGGCATGTGTTTGGTAGGAGTAAGTTAGATTGGAGATTTATTGGTCTTTTGGGAAAATGTCAAGTAAACAGTCCCAATGTACTAAAACAAAGGCGAGCTAACAACTAAGTACCAGGCACTGTTTGGATGAGCTAAGAGGAGTTGTGGGGAGGACTCATTTAATCTTCACATGAACCCACTGAGGTGCTATTATTCCCATTTCAGAAATGAGGAAATTGAGGCACAGTGTAGGGTTGCTGCAAGGATTTCTAGAAGTTGGATTTCTAGAAGTGGGTTTACTGGCCAAAAAGTTTGAACATTTAAAATGTTGCTAGGTATTAGCTAATTGCCCTCAGAATCATATCATATAGTTTCACAATAGTAAATGGAAGTGTCCTTTTCCCTACACCTTCCCCAGCAGTAAGTATTATCCAAATTAAAATATTTTTTGTCTAGATGATACAGGAAAATGAATGTGGGGTGAGAGGATGGCTGTGTCCCAGGTCTCAGTTGAGTCCCTGGGACATGCCCCGCCAAGTGTGGGTCCTTGGCTTCACGCAGAAAAGAATTCAAGAGTGAGCCACAGTGGAGAAAAGGTAGATTTACTTAGAGAGATACATACTCCATAGACAGAGTACAGATTGTTTTAGAATGCAAGAGAAAGACCACGAGGTGTTGGGGTTGGGTGCTCAATAGATACACACTCCGTAGACAGAACGGGGACTATCTCAGAAGACGAGGGACCAAGAGGCCACAAGGCGCGTTTTTATGGTCTCCATAACTTCATATGCTAACACGTGGGAGGATTATTTCAACTACTTTGGGGGAGGGGCTGGGATTCCCAGGAATTGGGACATCACCCACTCTTTGACCTTTTATGGTTAGCTTTGGAACTGTCATGGCCCCTGTGGGACTGTCATTGACCATGTTAATTTATTGCAATGAGCATAGGATGAAGCTCAAGTTCTACTGGAAGTCAAATTTCCTGCCATCTTGGACCTCAAGGCTCCTTGGGAGTTGAATTTGCCACCACCTTGGTGTCAATTGCTGTTATTTCTTGAATGGCTGTGCCCTGCCCTCTTCCTTCCTGTCTCATATAAAATGGATGAAAATGCTTCTTTTTATAACATGCCCACAAGTTCTTAGTACAAAAGTAATCTGATATTTAGCCAACTGTGGAAATGAAGACTCTCGGGATTAGACAGTCTCAATTGTCCTGTGCTTACATATTCGGGGGAGAAGCTGCTGGAGTTAGCACTTCCTCCTGATAGAGTCCTCAGTCCTTTTCATCTTTGGACAGGACAGCTCTGAACTACAAAAAGTCTTCATGTCACAAAAATGTGCCTACTGTATGATTCCACTGTATAAAGTTAAAAACAGGCAAAGCCAATCTATGGTGAGAAAGATAGTGATTTCCTTTGAGGAGGAGGAGGTAATATTTGGGAAGGCAAGAGTTTCTGGGATGCTGCTCAAATTCTATTTCTTGATGTGGTTGGTGTTTCCATGGGTATGCCCATTTTGGATAATTCATCAGGCTGTACATTTATGAATTACGCTTTTTACATGTCTCTCTCTCTTTCTTTTTCTTCTTTCTTTCTCTTTCCCCCTCTTCTCTCTCTCTCTCTCTCTCTCTCTCCTTCCTTTCCTTTCTTTCTTTCTAATTTAAGTAGGCTTGAAACTGAGCAGGATCCTGTGGGGCCCTCCCGGATACAAGTTCTTTCAGTGTCCTCTGTTTCTCGTTTGTAGGAAGTAGGTTTTTCAACCTCCTAGACCTTCCCCCAAGTTCCAAGGGGCAGATTCAAACAGTTCCTAATCAGGGAAAGGAGGGAATGCAGAAACAAAGGAGGAACAGTGAAGAACCAATAGAGCAGCAATTAAAGCAGAATCCTGATTCCTCCCCAGGACACATACGTAACAATACCTTTGAGTTTTGCAGGAACTAAGGTTCCTACTCAGACTGGGCACAGGGTTCCTGGAACAGTACCTTGTTACCTCACCACCAACCAATCAGAAGGAAGTCTGCACCCAGTAGATGGTAAGGCAGACTCTGGCTTCCTCCCCAGATGATTCTCCCTTTAAAAACTTTCATGGTTGAGCAGAATCTTCAGAGTTGGTTTTTGGACACTAATCTGCTTTCTCCCCAGGTTGCTGGCCTCCTGAGTAAAGCAATCTTTCCTTTTCAACCAACACTTGTCTCTCAAGTACTGGCTTTGGAGAGCAGCTGAATCTGAGTTCAGTAACAGGCTAGCTCTACATACATGCAAGGGCAGCTTAAGAGCCCAGTGCCAATGACTTTTGATTCTTTTATAGGCTCTTTTAAGAAATGCTGGAAGACCATCACTCTTGAAAGCAGAGAAGACACTCTCATGTGGAAAGTACAGACAGCATTGACTCTGATGAAATAAAATTCATATTTTACGGAAAGACAAGAAAAATTTAAACATAAAATAAGCATAAATTTGTTCTTTGCCCATTAGCATGTATTATGCATCTGCATTAACCAGACCTCCTTAGGAGATAACCTTCCTTCTTAATCTTGTAAAAGGCCACAGTGACCCATGACCCACTATTTGTTTGCACAAATAGATCTGGATTGTGTAAACTGTCAGCAATACATCATTCAACATACAGCCCACAGCTTCAAAAAATAACTGTGCTTTGACCTCTAACACGTGGAACATTTCTGAGAGTCTTTTCCCAGATTATAATACTCAACTTGGCTCAAATAAAATTTTCCATTTCTTTCTTAGATGGACTAAGATCAATTAATCTTCCCCCCCTCATTGGTAACTCCAAGTGGAAAGTCACAATGCAAATGTGAAAAAGTCCTAGGAAACTTTTGACCAATTAATTTTGTTTATATTCACAAAAACAGTACATGACTTTAAAAAAAATCTCTGTTTAAGGCTAAAAGAGCTCTTTCAATAATTGTAAAATTGTCAAGGGATAAGAAGAAATATTGGCAGGGGGTGACAGCTCAGTGGTAGAGCAGGTGCTTATTAGCATGCACGAGGTCCTGGGTTCAAAACCCAGTACCTCCATTAGAAAAAACAAAACATAATTTTAAAAATAAAAGAAAAAATACTGGGAATCAGGCAGTGCAGAGTGTGCAAAGACTTAGGAATAGATGAAGTGATTTAGAAAAGGTAAAGTGAGAAGGGAAGACAGAATAGAGCCCTGTGGAATCAGACAGGTCGGGGGATACTTAGTCAAATTCATAGAAAGTAGAGTCAGTTTTTAACAGGTATATAGCTTCAGTTTTACCAGATGAAGAGTTATGGAGACGGATGGTGGTAATGGTTGTACAACATTGTGAATGTATTTAATATTACTTAACTGTATGCTTTACAATAGTTACAATGGTAAATTTTATGTTATGTGTGTTTTGCCACATATATTTTTAAAATTAAAACAAAAAAAATCAGAACTATTTCCCCAAAAATCTCCTAAAAATGGTCAGTGGAGGAAAGGACACCTTCTTCCCTCACCCCAAGAGGTTCAAGGAGGAGCTGGTGGAGAAGGAGGGAAACCTTCAGAGAAATGCTCAGTAGCAGCAATGAAGACATATGGTAAGAATGATGTCAGCCCAGGGCCTCAGTTGAGGGACAAGTAAGGATGCCATCAAGTGAGTGATGATGTCCCATGCTGGGTACAGAGGTGACTCTGCCATCTGGATGGAGATGAGGTGTTCTAGAACCCCGCCCCCACCTCCTCTCATTCCCCGTCCCTCAAGTGCACGATCCTCACCTTTCCTGTTTCTGTCCTGGTAATGCAGCAGTTCCTAATTCAGTTCGTTGTGGAGCGTGGGTCCCTTTGAGATTTTACAAAAGCTATAAGTAAATAAACCACACACATTAACCCATATCTGTACAATTGTGCACATGGACCCCCTCGCTAGGCCTCAGACTGCAAAACTTCCTCTAATTGTTGGCACTCCCTTCCTCACACCCACAGAATTTTCTATCTCAGCTCTCCAGTAAGTTCTTCCTTAATGTGACACTCAGCACAAAAACAGATAAAACTGTTGTAGTGATTACAAAAGATATGTCTAGTAGATGCCACTATCTACTTGGGTGCCCCCATAAGCAGTAGACTTCATAAAGGTTTTGAGGAGGAAGAAGGTCAGCCAGAACCTAAAGGACATATCTGCCCAAAAGGTAAGATCTCGAAAGTATATAGCATTTCAGGTGTGTGTTGGGGGACCAACAAGGGTTAGGGTCGTGAGATATGGGTGACTCTTTTTCCCTGTTCCCTTAGAGACTTCATTAATAGGATTATCCCTGACTTCGCTCACACGCCACATTCATCAGCAGACACTGGCGGGCTCCACCTTCAAGTCGTGTCTAGAATCTGACCACCTCACCTCCTCTACTGCCACCTCCCTGGTCCCCGCCTTGCCCCCTTCAGACTGTTCTCACCACACTGAAGCCAGAGGGATCTTTTTCTTTTTTTTAAAGTCAGTCATAGCATTCCTTTGCTGAAACTCTCCAATGGCTTGCTTCCCTAACTGTCCAAAATTCAAGTCCTTTTTCACTGCAGAACTGCCCCACACAAGGCTCCAGCCCCCTCACACGCCAGTGGTGGTGCAGAGGGGACCCACATCACTGCGACAACCAAAAGGACAACTTCCTGCTTCCACAGGTTTCAATCCTGGCTCGCTCCCCCTCCAGCTGTATGACCTTGCTGGGTTTGTTTCTCCATCTAAAAGCAGGGGATGGTAACAAACTTGAAAAATTCTCATGAGAATTAGAAATATAGCCCTTCTTGGTTTATGTCCCAATAAACCTATCGTAAGTTGAAAATATCTTAAGTCAAAAATGCATTTAATACACCTAACCTACCGAACATTGTAGCTTAGCCAAGCCTACCTTACACGTGCTCAGAACACTTACATTAGCCTACAGTTGCACAAAATCATGACACAGAAGTTTATTTTACAATAAAGTGTTGAGTACCTCATGTAATTTATCAAGCACTGTACTGAAAATGAAAAACAGAGTGCTTGTCCGGGTCTAGAATGGTCTTAAGTATGTGGGTTGTTTATCCGTGTGATCGAGTGCTGACTGCCGATGAGTACAGCTCGCTGCTGCCGCCTCGCAGCACGAGGGAGCATCATATTGCATTCTGCTAGCCCGGAAAATGGTCAAAACTTGAAATACGGTTTATACACATACAATAAATGCATGTCGCTTTTGCAGCATCATAAAGTCAAAAAATTCTAAGTTGAACCATCGTGAGTCGGGGACTGTCTATAGGTGTCTGGCATCAAGGGCATGAGCAAATGGTTGCTAATGTTACCATCTAGGAAAAAGCAAACTCTCCATTGCTCCTGTTACCTGCATCTGAAGATTTACACCCTGCATATAGTATCTCTTTCCAGTTTCTTCTGAATTATTCTCTCCTATATCAGAAAGGAAGGTTATGGGCTGGGGCTACAGCCATGCTTCTTCTGTCCACCCCCGGGGAGCTGGTGCTGAGGGTGGATGAGAAACAGCAGCTTCCACACCCAGCGCCTCACCGTAGGCTGTCATCAGCAGGCTCCCACACTTCCACTGTAGGATCCTAGACCCAGTTTCCAAACCTCCTGGGGTTTGGTTCCTTATCTGTCAATAGTCGTGCTGATTGACAGGCCCTGCTCCCCAGGGCAAAGATGAGGAGGAAATGACAGTGTAAGCCCCATCCCAGGAGGGTGCCAGGTGTTCAGAAACTGCTGGCCTTAGCAGCCATCCCTGGTCCAAAGCCCAGGACTCTGTGTCCCTCCCCCTTGACTCTGGAAGCCAGATTCTCTCTGACTGACTTTGGCTGGCTCCCTCTCCCAGCCAGAGAAGCCCAGTTCACTCTAAGGCACAAATTCCCACTCTAGGAATCCAGTCCCCAATCCCAACCACTCAGTAGCTAGTCTCAACACCCAGAAGAGGAAGGCAGGGGAATCTGGGAAGAGACACTATTTCTCTTCCAGATCAGCCTATGCCAACACCCAGGAAGGTGGAATGCTTCTCCCGCAACGGTGACATTTCCTCACAACCTAAATGTTCTGTCTTTGGATGGTGCGTCAGAAGCTCAGAACCCAGGCTCCATTATTTACTTCTTCAAGAACTGATGTTTTTTTCAGTCATGTTGGCCAGAGAGAGATTATATAATATCATTTAATTTAAAAAAGTAGGGTAAACAGGAAAGTAGCACAAAAATATAGTGTTGCTGTGGAAGGATGGTGCTTGCTGCTAAGACGCTGAAGCCAGAGGAGGTTGTGGATTCCGGGAACAGTATTCTTCACAGGAGGGAGGGAGTGGCCTGAAGGGCAGACAACCAGGAGAGCCTCTTATCTGAGACCCCCTTGCAGCAGGCTCCGTACAACTGGTGACACACCCCAAACACCAATGTGAGGGGGGATATGATAAACTCCTGCTTCTCCCAGCAGAGTCTGTCCAATGAGGGTGAGCCTGGGCCACGTGCGTGTGTATGTTAAGTGCCAGGAGAGTACCCAAAGGCTTCCCATCACCCCAGACCTCCCTGTGCCGTGAAGCACTGGACTGGCCTGGAATCCTGGTTTCCTCTGGAATGCTGTCACCTTCCTACTGCCAACCCAAGGTGGGCAGTGCCTTTTGGCCCCATTATATGATACTCTCTCCCAGGACCTAATTTACTAGTTTGACTAAAATAAATCCCTCAGCCACGTCCTCTTCTTCTGATCAATGGGTTTCCCCCGTTCTCCTAACAGATGTCTTTGGGGTCTTCATTTTCTCCGCCGGCTGACACTCCTCAGTTCATCCAATTCCTTCTCCATTAAGTGGGATTCGGCAGTGGTCTCAGAAAGCTGGAAGTAAAGCAGCAAACCGTTATGAAGAAGGGTGTCCTGGGCTGTTTGAGGCTGGCCTTGCCTCTGGGAAAGGCCCCCAGGCATTTCTCTAACGCTGCCGGCAGCTCCCATGGCAGGAACCCCTTTGTAACTGGGCAGAGAGTAACTTTCTGATGACCCAGGTCCTTGAGTACTTGAAGAATATTCATGATCCACTCTATCAACATTTTTGATCACCTAGGATTGTGTGGCACTCACTGTGTTAAGGACACAGGCCTCAAGTGATGAAAAAGGCAGATACGGGTGATTTTAAGGCTAAAGGATTAGGGTCCAAGTTGCTTCTGAGCCGTGGCTCACATAATGGTGATAAGCGGGGAAAATGCTTGAAAAAGAATGCCACTTTCCTCATCAGGATCTTTCAGCAGACTTCAGAGTAGAGGGCGGAAGACATTCCAGAGAGGGACGGACAGATATAAACTCTAGAGGTCAGCTTACTGGAAAATAAAAGAGCTACACTTCCTGAGCAACATACTTTTCCAAGAGCTTCACTTGTATTATTAACTCACGAATGAGGTAGATCCTACTATCATGCTCATTTTACTGTTGAAGAAACTAAGTTTTTTCACACAGAGTAGCTAAGTAACTTGCCTAAAGTCACACAGCCAGTGGAGGAGCTGGGCAATGGACCCAGGCCTTTTAGCCCCATACATGTGCTCTTAACCACTACAGTGTATGCACTCCTGACTCAATCAACCCTCACATACACCTCTAGGCCCAACAGGCTGCTGGCTTTTTAAACCCGCAAGAAACTGACGCCAATGCAGAGAGCGGCCCTCCACAGGTCTGCGCCGGGCACTGACTGGACAGCTGCTGGGTGTGGAACCTCTCCCAGCCAGGAGCAGGCTGTCTTTCTTCCCGAATGTCTTCATCCTAGTCTCCATTCCTACCTTTTATCTTTCCACATTCAGCTCAAACTTCCCTTTCCTGTGATGTCTTCCTGACACGACAAAATGACTTCCTCTCTGTCATGCGCAGACTGCCCTTACAATGAGACACTATTATATGTGTTGTCCATCTCCCCACTAGATTGCAAGCCCCTGAGGGTAGGGATTATGTCTAATTTGGTTTTGTATCTTTGGATTCACAGCATTGTACCTGGGCAAACTGGCACTCAAGAGGCATGGGCTGGCTGAAATGACTCGCGTGAACCTCCCCAAGGGAAGCGGAGGCATCTCTGCCCATCACCTGCCTCACCATGTCCAGCAGGATGTCCACCTTCAGCCGCAAGAGATTGTTTTCTTCCTCCAACTGCTGGTTCCGTCTCCGGAGGCGCTGAGCCTCCCTCCGGTCCACACCCCCACTAATCCCTGTTTCTGGTGGAAGGACAGAACCAGCAGTTACAAGGGGTGTTTCCTCCCACAATCTTGTTGGACAAAATGGCAGGAAATGTAGCCCACCTGCTATCCACTGGCCGTTTTCAAACTTCAGGCTTTGCCCCGCCAGGTTCATGGTGGGGGTTCCGTAGTCAAGACCCAGCTCCACCTCCCGGGTTGATCGATCCAGCTGTGGGTGAGATGCTCATGCTGCCTTCAGGGGGCCGAAGCACACGGGCTCCAGGCCCAGTGCCTCTTCTGCTAACTGTATGACCGCAACAACTCATTTCTTTTCTCTAATCATTACCTGGCACATTTAATACATTTATTTTAAGTCAGAAAATCAAATAAGGTAGTAACAAAACCTTTTAAAGTATAAGAGAAAAGAAACATGCTGCTTTATACAATAGATATTTTCTGAAAAAGCTATATAAGCTGAAATTGGTAAACTGAATTATTTCACATGTAGTGGGCACTTAACAATTTAAGAAATCCTACTGTAAAGTTTTAATAAAGTGAAAAATCCTTTTTAAACATAATAAGCCTGAGCTATCATTTGCTTACTATGGAGCTACACATCATGGAAGAGGCGCGAAATACTAACACCCAACTAGTAGTACTCACTAGCGGTTGTTTAACGTGCCAGTGTTTCTACACCCAATGAGCACCTGCCCTGTGCCAGGACAGGTACTGGACGTTCAGAAACGAACGCAACCCCTCTGCCCTTGAAGAGCTCGGAAACTGCCTTTGGAGCTGCGACATATCCTTCTAATGTTGGCAAAACATCACCCTTGGAGAACGGATTTGACTCTCAGACATGACTAAAGTTGATTCCTGGCCAAGTCTTGGGAATAAAGTGAAGTCAAACTAGATAATATCACTGGGAGCCAAAAATCTTAATGAGACTGACTGTCTTTGAAGCTTCTTGAACAAACTCTGACAGTAACTCCCAAATAGGAGTTAAAAATGTTTTCAGTAATAGCAATAACATGAATTAAAAGGATGCCCTCCCACGAGGATGCCTCTGGAGGACCACACTTTCCATAAGGGACCAGGCTTGATGCTCCAGTCACACTGCATGCCGGGCTGACACTCACATTATGCAGGTTGGAGAGAGAAGCCGACTTCCGAGGGGGCGTCTTCTTTGGACTGAATGTATTACCAAAGAGAGGCATCTCTGACCTGATGAAAGGAAGGTCAATGCTCCTTTCTCCTAGGGTCAGAAAAAGTCAGGGGTACAAAGAGTTGGGTGAGTGACCTTCTGCCACTGTCCCTGAATCAAGAAAACACACATCTTATCATGTGGCCATTAATTCTTGTGACAGCTCCCACGCGCTGAATGCTCACTATGTGCCAGGCAGCATGCCACAGCCTTTGCAACATCTCAGCTCTCACACTGCCCTTTGTTTAACTCCTTACACCCATCTGACAGATGAAGTTTAGAAAGACTAAGGTCCTAAGTGGGAGCTAGAATTTGAACACAGGTCTCTGTGGCTCTACAGTTTGTTAACTCCAGGCAAGTGCCTAACTTGCCTGTCTTAAGTTTTGTCACAAACTGGCATCACCAGATTACAGTCCATAGCAAGGTATACAATCCCACTTATTCCTGGACACTGGTAAGACTCACTCCTGGGGCAACAGCTTCTACATAACCTCCATTTTAAAGAAACGGAGCTATAGCTATCCTTCACTTTCAGCTTGGTAACAGTGCCCCTCACTCAGTCTATGTCAGAAAGTTACCTGTCTTATATGGTAGGGGAGGTGACTGGTGGGAGGAGGCCCACAATATGGCAGAACTGACAATGGCAGCCAGATGTCTGCCTTCAGCACACTGTAACCTACTGCAATTCACACAGGCCCAGTTAAGTCGATTTACTGACACCGCCCACAGGGGGAGTGGGAGTGGAGAAGCAGTGGGGTGGAGAAGTGTATTTATGTATCACATAAATATATAAAAGAATACAAATCACAAGTGTTGGTCTTCATGAGTTTTCACCACATACACACACACAAACCTGTGTAGCCACCTGCCAGATCAAGAGACAAGACATTTTATCACCCACAGGCCTAGCCCAACAGCTTTATATCCATGGACTTGGACAGCATGTCTTCTTTTGTGTCTGTATTTTTCAATCAATATCATGTTGTGAAATTTGTTGTATGCAGTTGTATTTGGTTTGTTCCCATTGCAGTAAAATATTCTACTGCATGAAGTGGATGTTTGGACTGTTTTCAGTTTTTGTCTATTAAAAACAGTGCTGCTAAGAATATGCTTGGACATGCATTTCTGCATATATAAGCATACTTCTCTAGTTCTATACCAAGAGTGGAACTGCTGAGTCATAGAGCATTCATATATTCAGCTTTAGCAGATACTGGGAATAGTTTTCCAAAGTGGCTGTACCAATCCATACCCCTACCAACAGTGTATGAGAGATCCTTGTAAACATCTGGCATCTTCTGTTTCATTTTATCCATTCTGGTAGGTATGTAATGGTATTGCATTGTTTTTAATTTGCTTTTCTCCAATAACTAATTAAATGCAGCATCTTTTCATGTACTCATTGGACATTTGCAAACTCTCTTTCATGACATGCTCGTACAAGTCTTTTGCCATTTTTCTATTGAGTTGTCAATTATTTTCTTCTTAATTTGTAAAGGTTCTCAATATTTATTTCAATACATGTCCTGTGTTGTCTACACAAAGAATGCTGAAACTGTCTTCTCCCAATCTGGGATTTTCCTTTTTGTTTTCTTTCTGGTTTCTTTCTGATTAAAGAAGTTCTTAATTTTAATGGGATCTAACCTATCAATTGTTTTACTGATAGTGATTTTGTGTCCTATTCAAGACACTCTTGCCTAGTCTGAGATCATATTTTTCATGTATTAACTTGGAGATTTTATTCTTTCATCTTTTACATTTAGAGCTACAATTCATCTGGAATTAACTTTTATATGTGGTATGAGACAGGAGTCACAGTTCATTTCTTCCCATATTATCACCCAATTTTAACATATAATACACAAATAGTTTAAAAAGATTCCTTCTAAGAAACTGCAGACTGACAACGGCAGCAATGAAAGCACAGGAGAGCAAAGGAGAGCAGCAGAGCTTCGCTCTCACTTTTCCCACTCTGTGCTACAAAATTCTCCTTCACCATATTATGAGATAAAAACAAGAATGAGTTTATCATTTCTGACAAGCAGTTGGCCAAACAAGAAGGACCTTCTCAAGACTCTCTGAAACAAGGTTTTATATCAACTATCGTTAAAAGATAACTCATGGTAGGAATTCTTCACAATTAGTGAGATATATATTCAATGAGAACACTAGGAAAACTTCTGTGCCTTTTTCAGTGATGCAGAAATTAGTTGCTAAAATTAATGATAAAAGTTTAGAAGCTTCTTCGGAAACTTTACAATACACATATATATATATACATTTATAAATAACAATAACAAAAAAGACATTTGGGGTGTGTGCTCATGAGAGTTTTACTGGTGTGTGTGTGTGTGTGTGTGATTAAAAACGCAGAAGACCCACAACCTGGGAGAAAGTATTTGGGCTGGGACACAACACTTTAAGACTTGGACAAACCAGAATGCTTTCGGCTTGGTGGTGGACAGGACAGCAGTGGGGACCAGGATGTTGAGGGATTTTGAAGCTGTGCTACCATATCATCCAAAACACAGCGGAAGGCCCTGGCATTGTTTCTGCTGGAGAAAAGAAAAAGGGTGGAAGAGGGAAGACAATTAATCTTATGTTTACAGAGGGCAGAACAGGAATGAAACGACAATGTTCAGGAAGGATTTTAACACAAAAAAGAAAAGGTCACAATAACAATAACTAACACTGTTTCCTGCATATCCACTATGGATTGGACCCAATGCTGAGTATACTTCATGTATTTCTTCTATTCCTTGCAGCAAGCCCACAAGGTAGTTATTTTCCTGTCCAAAACAGAGAAGAGAAAGCTAGGGCTTGGAGAACTTATCCAGTTTTCCCAAGATCCATAGCCATGGTCAGTTGGCCAAAGATATATATTAAATTATCTTGGTATTAATAATTTGTGGAGTACATCATACAAAGAAGCATTTTCATTTAACATGTTGGCAGAACTTAAGAGATCAACCATATCCAATGCTGATGAGGGTGTGGAGAAAAAGACACTTTCATCTACTCTTGGTGGAAACATAAAATGCTATCGTTTTTTCAACTAGGCAAAACCTAGCAAAATTTTTAATGTGTAAACTTTTTGGCCAGGAAATCTACTTGTAAACATTTCTGCTCCAGAAAGAATTGGACATGCGCACACAAATGCTCTCTATTGTTGATAACAGTGAAAAATAAGAAACAACCCAAAATGTCTACCAATGGTTGGTGTAGCCAAATACACTGTGGCACATTCTTACAAGGGACTACTAGATGGCAACTGAATTTCCCATTTTATAGGTTAAAAAAAAAGGCCAAATAGTGGCAATTTCATATCACAATATAAAATTATATTAAAGAAATATATTTCTGGATTTAATGAATTATTATGATACTCATGTATTACTTATGAAAAAAATCAACCAAACAAACAAAAAACCAAATAAAAAGCAGCCCCCCACCCCTCTCAAGCATCTGGAGGCATTTGAGGAAGGAAAAATAAGCCAAGTTGTTCTTGCAAAGGCCGCAACTGTGCTGAGAGCACTAAGCCTGAGCAGATCACTGGGACACAACAGACAAGCTCCAGGCCTGGCTCTGCTCCTCAACTGTCTGCTAAACCTTGCCCAAGTTATTTTATTTCTCCAGGTTTTAACCAGGGCACTTCACTCATGACCTCACTAATTCTCATAACACTTAAGCCAAGAACAGATATCAACATATTATAGATGAGGGAAAGGAAGGGTCTGGCCTAGCTGCCTTTTAAGTCAGATCCACTACTCCCACAAACAGCTGAGGCTCTGGGGTCCTGGAACACTAATGAAGACCTAGAGGTCCCAGCTCCTCTTGGCCCAAGAAGCCTTCTTGCCAGTGAAGCTCCCTGGGGAGAGAGGGCTCAGCATAAAGGAAGTGAAGGGAGAGCACACGGGTTCCAACCACCGCCCGCTGCTCACTCCCAGCACTTACCTTCCCTCGGCCTCAGGCTTCTTTATTTATAGTCAGCGATAAATAACAATAGTACCCACTCAGAGGCTGTTCTGTGCTTTACCGTTTATTTAAAAAAACTGTGGCATTTGATACAACAAACCTGGCAGAAGATCAAGTAGTTTGTTTCCGTCTACAGATCAGAAAACTGAGGCTTAGAGAAGTTAAGTAACTTGCCTCCAATTACACCCTGGGAAAGTGGTGGAACTTGGCTTCAAATAGGGTCTACTCCTCTGCGCTAATAACAACTTCATTACTGTGCAATGCTTCACAGTTTGCCATAAAGTACATTATATTATTTTAACCTAACAAGAAGGTGAGGAAGCAGTCTGTGGCTTTCATTGGATTCTCAAAGAGATTACGCGTCCCCCAGAGTTCAGAGACTGCCAAGTACGCGTCACGCAGGTACACTGCCACCCAGGGCTGTCAACTCAACTAACGGTAGTGAACAAACGTTCATTCGCGCGCCCTCATTAATCACCTTCGTCGCTGACTTACGGGGTTAATCACCACCCCAATTTACAAACTAGGAAACACACTTCGAAAAGGGCGGTGACGGGCTTGCGGTGAACCCGGTGCCCGCCCCCTGCTCCGCGCCCTCCGGCCGCTCCAGCTGTGGGGAGGCCCTGGGTCCCCTGGGGAGCGCCCGGGCATCCTACCTCGCCTAGGGCCCTCGGGCCCTCGGACGACGCAAGGTTCGGAGACGTACCTGATGCGCCCCAGAAGCCGGGTTCCAAGCTAACTCGCCGGCCAACCGCAAGGTGCCATCCAGGGCCGCGTTACCCA